TGCAGAGTGGACCTCACATAAATCTGATATAATACCAATTGCTCTTGGTTCGCTCCCATTTGTTACCTACTGATTTTCAGGGCTCTGGTATAACTATGTGTGCAGTCAATGAAACCTCCCACATCCCAGTGAAATGACACAGGTTAAACTGTACAGTACATTTGTGCCTGGATGCATATTTGTTCAATCTGTGAATTTCAAGAGCCATGAGCACAAACTCGCCTGTACTAAATACACTTTAAGAGCTGACATTAAAGTTAATATGAAAGTTCAGAGGTGTAAAATAATTTAAATGTACAGAAGAGGTAGCAATAACGTTTCTAAACTGCAGCAGTGAATTATGTATATAAGAAATATTAAAAATGCAAAGCTGGCTCTATTTGCATTCGGAATGCCCCCTAGCTGTTACCAAAGAGGAGGAAATTGCTTTATGCTGAATTCAAGGGCATATTACTTAGTGCTGCATTTAAGTCTAGAAGGAATATCACTCATTTTTATTCTACCACTTAACTTGGGCTTATGTAATCTGTCTGATAGCCAAGTCAGTTGTCTTATTTTCTATCACAGAGAGAGAATATATAATTCAATCATTAAACCTTTATTTTCAGCTGGTTGCAAGATCCCTCAGAACCACATTGCTGCATGTAAATCATGGGCTGTCATCATCTAAGATGATGGAAATGTCGGTGCTTTTGGGTAGATTACTTTGGGTAATCACAGGACAAAATTAAACTTATTCACCCATTGGAGAATATGTAGTTGATGTGGAAGAATCAAATAATGCCCTGTTTGCTTGCAGGGAGTGGGGGTTAGGTATTACTTCAGGGCACCAAGATCTAAAAACAGAAGCCTGATTCATCTAACTATATTTAAACCTTGTCTGGGTGGAAAATTGTGAGTGAAATTTGCCTTTCTTGACTGCTGTAGTTGAAACCCCTGTACTGCAACTCCCAGCAGGGATTTTTCTGTAGTATTAACAGCAGGGGGAATTAATGTAGAAATAATTTTGCAAACAAACAATTCTTGTCTGTCTCTGATTGTACTGTTTCTTTACCACTTCCATGTTTTCCACCATGACCAGTAAAAAGCAACCAATTTTCACAAAGCTTTTATTTGAAGTCAACTTCACTTCCAAGATATGTTACACATACGGCAGGAAAATATCACAAAACAGTTGCTCCCACCTTTGGCTTCATAAGGAGAATAAGCAGAGGACCAAAGTGGAGTTTACACATTTCTCATCCATAAGCTTCTGCATGGTGACAGAGAGACAACTACTTCTTGTGTTCAGAAAGCCAGCATTATTGACCAAGCCTGGATTTAAAATGTCTGATCAAATTAATCCTAGTTCCCTGTGGCAAAAAAAAGGAAATGGTAGCAAGGATGTACATATACAAGGGCAAGATATGTTTAAGTAGATAAGCATATTGCTAGTGCATCTGTTTACTTCCATTTATATTATAGGTGTACCATATTATTATCTTGTATTTTCAGCAGCCCCAATATTTAATGAAAAACTAAAATTAAAAAACATTCAAAGTGTATCACATATCCCAGGAGTCTCCCCATCCCAACAGCTGCACAATACAGTATGAATACAAATTTTCCCAACTGTCACATACTTACAATTAAAAGAAATGATTCTTTCCTCCTCAGCTCTACCAAAACAGCCTCTCAGAGAAAAGTATAGAGAGGAGATACTCAAGCTCTGTGTTAAATCACAGTGTTGTCTCTAATGCTAAGTAAGGATTTAGGCTTGGAGGTGGTATTGAGAGAAAAATTTTATATACTGCTATCAGGACATTTTAGCTCACAATGGCAGTAAGTTATCAAGACTGACCTCACTTGATGTCAGGAGAGCTGTCTAAAGTGTAATTCTGGAGTTCTGACGGGATTGACTGTTTTTCTGAAAAGACCAGGTCCCTCCTGATCTCTCAGAACCCAAAAGATATTGCATGGGTTTTTTCTCTTTTTTAAACAAAGAAACAAAAGACGGTAGGAGAATTACAGTTAAATCCAGGAAGAAGTATATGAGAGATTAAATTCAGGTATGGGAATAAGAAACTTCCATTAAAAGAGACATTGATGTGAGTCTCTGAGTGTAGCTCACTGAGGGGCAAAACAGAGCTGGAAAAGTGAACATCTTAATGAATATCAGAAACATGGGGAGAGGAGGCAGACAAATCAGAGGTAATGTGTTGTATCACCCGTGTCAAAAAGAAGCAAGAAAATAAATGAGACTTGCAAGAGTAGACTAAAGCCATTAGAACAGGGATAGTTGGAGAGGAAGGGTTGAGCACAGCACTAGAAATTAGCAGCATCTGCAGAAAGAAATACAGCTTGGATTTGCCAATTTTTGGCAATTACTGTAACAGAAGATTTCTAGCAGAAATGGCGTTAGTCTGTGTTAGGTGCAAAAGACTAGTGAGGAGGTTACACTGTACGAGGCAGTGCAGGACAGCAGAAGGTGCTGCTCCAGAGAAGTGGTGGTGCAGGACAGAGGTCTGATGCCAGACATCACTGCTTGGAAGAAGTGGAGGTAATATCCATGGAGAAACCCAGAAGAAGAATACTCTTAATGCTTTGGTCTGACATATTAAAGGGCAAACTTATGCTGACTGTTAAATCAATATCAAATCAAGACTGGAATCTGTTTTACGATCATGGACAGTGAACTCCTTAATGCTGGAGTCATAAATGATGTCACATTTCAGCGGTCCTGTGGCTGCCAATATTCAGGCCAGAAATGCCCATTTTAATTAAAAACTTCAGTCTGAAAGGCAAAGTGTCGCTTGCTGACAGCAAGAAGTACTACTTTGTGCTTCTCATGTGCTCTTGAGGCTTTGTGTGGAGTAGAGGACAGTTTACATCCTTCTCAGCACCATCACATCTCTCCGGCAAAAACCTGTCTGAAGACAAACCTACAATTTACACCGTCAAAACAAGTTTGATGTGAGAGCTGAGAAGAACACAGGTCTTGAGCTGGCCTTTGGGGATGAAGGAATGCCACTACTTGTGTAGAGCACAACCCCAAAGTACCCTGTGCACTTCGAAAGCAACTTCGCTGGAACTGGGGAGTCCACTCCCTTATGTCCCTCCCCGGTACCACTGAGCAAGGAAGCATGTGCTTTAAATCAGTAGTGCATTGTCTGGCTTTACAATTAAGTTTGCTTGGCATGGCCTGGACCCTGAACTCTCTAAAGACAGGTGCATTTTGCATCTGAGCCTTTGAATCAGATCCCAGAGGATTAATTTTATCAAGAATTTCATATTCTAGAATGACTGAAATCAACAGAGACATTTGCCACTTTTTTATTTATGTTGCCTCACTTGGTGAATACATGCCAGTGACTGGGAAGGCTGTACTGCAAGATCATTTTTTATGCCTTTCAAAGTAAAGCATTACTTAGGCACATGTCAAAACTTTCACAGGTCTTAAGGATTAAACATAAGCTGCAGGTGTTTTCTCAGGGATGAAAAGGTTTACTGACATAGGGGATGTTGAAGCAATGAGTCCCATAAATCCAAAGACTGTCTGGAGGCCTGTGAACAGGAATGTCAGGAACTGACTCCCTCTTGCTGTACTGCAAATCTGTGTTGTAGATCCATAAAGACACAGAAACATCAGGATCTCATCATTATGAGGTACATTCCCAGGTCAGGATTCCCTGCATGGCCAATGACTGATGACCGAATGCGGGTGAAATCAACTCACACTGTTCAGTAAAACTCTTCCAGGACACTGACAATTACAAGCTCTTCTGCTAGATCAGTCACCCTAGAAAAATAGCTAGTTTGGAGATTTCATCAGACAAAAACAATGTCAAGTAAGAAACTTTGCATTGCTCTAGTCTAGTAAGTCCCTCAAAGTAGTTGAGTACAGTTGTTTTGCTGTTGTAAAATGCATAGGCATTTATCCATCAAAGTAGCATGAATGAGGGATTTGCTTAGTGCTTTCTCTTCTTCAAACAGACAAAAAATATCCTCTCTGCCAAATTAATGTCACCTGCTAAATTCTAAGGCTAATATCTCCTTTGCTTTTAAATTTGCCTCAGATTCATCAAAGTTGCTTTCACAAGTGCAGGCTGACATGATGATAACCCAAAAAAGACAGTGTCTAATTGGAGCAGAACATATGTTACAGTCATGCTATTTTACAAAAGGAAAATCAAGTTTTCTAGCTCACATGTTATGATAATTCCCCGTGACAAATTACATTGTTTCTCCTCAATCAGATTTTTGCGCATATAGTACAGATCTTCTTGCAGTAAAGAACTGGGAATATTCTGTGACTTTCCACAAAAAGCTTAATATATTACACTTGCACCATGGAGAGCATTCAACGTGTACAGGAAAACATGTCTATGTATGATTAACACCTCATTTCACCTCTACTTTTCAGTTCAGAAAAACTGTTAAAAGTACGTTTAGATAGAAACACTTTTCACACACCTCACAAGTTAAGAAGTAGAGTTCATTACTTCAAAATTTAATTCAAAAAATCTACCTTTTGCTTCAGAGAAGTCTTTTTTTTCTTTTTCTAGGCAGACTTCTTCCACCCTGGCCTAAAGTAATTTGTACTAGATGCTCTTTGACAGAGAACACTGAACAAAATAAGCTGACAATTCAATGCAGTATGATCATCCTTATCAGTACAAGAATATTACTTTTAATTGCTTTATTTGAAAATGGCAGTAACAGCCTATTAACCTGGAAATTAACTCTGGACAACTGTTCCTTTGAGGTAATATATGGATTAGATTTCAATGAAATCTCTGTCTTTATATGGGTAGCTTTTACCTAATTTTTTTGGCTGCAGATGTGTCCCTCTATTTAATTTAAATGCAGACAGAGGTATAAAAAATGGAAAGTTTCAGAATGAGATCCAGGTTCTTGCCTTTTGTCACTGTGAAAAATCCTTTTCCTCACCATGTAAAGGTTACTTTGTAAATTATGATGTAACTTTTCTCTAGAAAACTAACTTCGCTCTACCTTTGCAGCATTAGCTCCCTGGTTATACCAGGATCCAAGGTCCATGAACGGCGGGCAACACCTTCATTGATTCAATCCGGTATCTGCCCTGTTTTACAAGGTATTTGAGTCCATTCAATAGCAGCAGCCACCAGGTATGTATTGATCTGGCAGTAGCAACAGTGCCAACTTAGCCCTGACCTGGTGCAGGCTGCACTCTGACTTGCGTACAGGGATGGAAGTTGCTCCATACCGTGAAATACAGCACAAAAACTTCAGTGCTGCTTCTACCTGCAGTGTCCCCCCAGTTCTAAATTCCTCTTTTTTTCTCCCTAATTTCCATTTAGTCAAGATTTTCTCATTCCCAGTGTAAGGTCAACTTTGACAACTCACGGGTGTCATCATATATTTCATCTAAAGTCTATCCTACAGGTGCCTATAGGTGGTCCAAACAGTTCATGGAGGACACACTGCTACATGGTGAATGCAGCGAGAGGGCACAAGGCAGGCAGTGTGTCTGCAGCACTGCTCTCCTGCTTTCTGCATCATAATCCCTGTGACAATTACACCATATAATACTCCAGTAAAGGAACTAATGCTGTATGATCTCCATTTAACAAAATTCTTAAGTATCTGCTAAAGATGTATGCCTTGCTGCCTCTGGATTCAAAAAGATTAGTCATATACTTGCAGTTAAACACATACATGAGTATTTAATATGTTTTAATGCTTCTGTATATTCAGTTGTTTGCTAAATGGCTGCAGTTCTGGATGTCCCCACTGCAAAGAGAATGAAATTAATACACCAAATGCCTTCAGACCACCAGACTGTTCAATGGCTAGAGGAGTGTGCATAAGCAGAGATTTTGTATTATGCAACAATAGATAGGTACATTTTTTTGTGGATTGATATGAAATATTCATATTTGTTGTTTCTCTGAAAGTATACTTTGAGGAACTATTTTGAAAGTGACTATAGAAAAACACAAGTGTACTTAAAATGCTCTTTTCCTGCTCTCTTCATGTTGTACAACAGACCACAGATGTAACTTTGTCAACTCACACAAATCAAGAACCATTAAGATGGACTTCTATCATACATTTTCATTTTCAGCTTCTGGATCTTCTATATTCTTTAGTTTAATCTATTCAAAAATTTTCACAGCATCACCTATTCTCCTGATTTTAATCTAAGATTTACTTAGTGGACAATAAATAGTCCGATTTTCACAGAATCATAGAGTCATGGAATTATTTAGGTTGGAAAAGACCTTTAAGGTCAAGTCCAACCTTCAACCTAGCACCACCAACTCCACCACTAAGCCATTTCAGGTAAATGGTTTTTGACTGTTATTGTAGTTGGCGCTTAATTACTGAACAGGTCAACAATCAAAACATTTGCTTCTATCGCAATAATTCTAGTAGTAGCAGCTTCAATTATTGTTACTCTTTAGGTTACACCAAGTGGAAGACAACGCTATTTCCCACCAAGCTTGTCATTTCAACAATGCATTTTAAACAACCTGCTATGTAGTGCAAGAGGTGGCTTCAGCAGTGCAGTCACTCAGAGTGGCTGTAAACCTGACGTAAGCAGACACTTAAGGTGAGTTTATGACTGCTTTGCATTGTTAAAGGAACATGGGCAGTTAGATCATACCAACCAGTCTGGCCCAGGATATTCTATCATAAAGTGCCATATGGTCATTTACAGATCTGGATGCAAATTCCATTGAGATTGTAAGCAATTATCTTTTAATTAAATGCCATAGCAAGAGCTGTATGAAGTGTTATTCTTTATTTTAGAAGCAAAGTAGAGAAGAACACTGCATCACCTTGAAGAGGACTGGAATAGATTATGTTTCATGGCATTACTAGGGCAGTCCAGGCCACTGTACTCTGATTCATGTCAAAATATTAACAAACTAGCTATCTAAGACAATGATTTTGGCACCATGTACTCTAAGATTCCGCTCAGAGGATGACTGAGGCACACATAGACATGCAAGAATCGAGAATGTTCTCCTTACATTAACTTCAGTGGATTTATTTGCATATTAAAAGTTACACATGTCAAAACACTTCTTTTTAGCTGAAAGCTATATATGATGGGAACATCTTACTCTTTCTTTGTCGCCATAATTAAACAACCATCACTTAAGAGCCCTGTCCCTACCAACTAGGTGAGTTTCAAAGCAAGAGCTTACTTCTGACTGACTCTACTTCCAGATACTTGACTTCATAGTTAGACAAACCTCCATTGTTTATTTCCTCCATTATCTAATCATATTTTAATACTTACAATGTCTGCTCAAAATAGTGAAGACTTTCTGCACTGGATTTTCATTATTGCGCAACCATGGTTGAATTGCCATTGAACAGAAGGCAATGGTAAAGGTCCCATCAACTTCCTTAAAAGAAGGACTGGGACCCCAAGTCATTCACTGTTTATGAAATATATGTTCTCTTAGTATGTGCCTTTCCCTCTCAGTCCCCCAGTATGAACTTAGGAGAAGTATTTCCTTGTATTTCTCATGTCTGAATGTTACATCACTTAAGCCTGTTCTGGAAAGTGGCTGGTTAACAACTGCCACAGCACAAGCAAGTAGTTTTGATCAATCTTAAATCCTCATCCCTTGACACTTTAATCAAAATAATTTAAAATTCTATTAAGCACAATATGCAGAGCATTAACACTCTGAACCAGTGAGCAGTTGGAGTGTGCAAGCTGAGTGATATATCTGAATAACAGCCTTGTTAGAAAGGCTATCATGTTTTGCTCCTTGCTGAATCATCAGGGACGATAGTGGCAATATCACTTTTTCATTGCTAATGTATGGCTCAAAGGATCTGACAAGGAGCTAAATGTTTGATTCCCTGGGAGAAGCTGCTTTACTGAGGTGTAAGTAAAATTTTCCATCTTTTAAAACTTACATGGATTTTGGAGATGTCCATCACCCAGGAGCAGGAGCAGCAACCAACCACATTCTCAATATTATTCTTGCTGCTGTGCCTTCCCCAGTCTCTCCAGTCTAGCTGCTACCTTCTCATTTAATTCAGGTCTGATGCCCTGTCTTGAGGCTTCTTTTTCTTACTGTTCATTTCTCCACGGTCAGTGACTCCAAGAGTTACTGGGCAGGTGGCATTTCTCAACCCTGTTACCAGTTAAGAATTAAAACCATTTATTTGCCTTTCAAAGCTTTGTATGAACTAAATGTACCCATACCAACCCAATTTGCACAGAGGTTTGGAGTTTATTTGGTGGTAATGCAGACGTCCATCTGAATAATGACAAAGGAGGGAAAATGCTTTGGGTTGATTTTGGCTATGCACCTGTGGCAAAGCTCCTCATGAGAAGTACACCCAGAGAGCACAAATGCCCTCACAAGACCTCTTCCTTTTGACTAGAGCTCTGTTTTTATTGGTTCAGTGCCTTTTTTGTGCAAAACATTCGCACAAAAAACAAAAGGTAAAGTTTGTGTTTCAGGAAATATGTGCATATAAAACCTCATTTTTGTCTCCCTGTTTAAAATAGAATGGGGTAGATTTTAGGTGATCTCTCCAGGGTCTTTCAGCCCAATTTTCTCTAATACTATGAAAGCAGATATAAATGACACCTACCCAAAAACACAAACATGTTTTTCTACTGCATTATAAAAGGAAAAATACTTGCATGTAGATTGGATCATGAAGGGCAATAGAGAGGAATTTAAATTTAAGAAGTGAAAGCAAAAGGAAAATTACAATAATAAACAAACTAGTTGTGATAGACACTAGAGTAATTCCTGAAAGTCATTTATGTAATGCAAAAACTCACTTGAAAAAGACAGAATGCTATTGTTTTTACTATCAAGTGTCAAACTTGGGCAATGTAGTTATTACAGTCCTGTGTATATAAAACTTCTTAAAAGCCAAAAAAAAAAATTAAGAAAAACTTTGAAACCTGTCCTCCAAAAAAGTCACACAAAAAGCCAAATTAGCTGTTAAACTAGCTCAACTGTTACAGTGCAGCCTTGCCACTGGAGTACATAACAACCATCTCCTGTGAATTGTTTTAGTTGCAAAGAGTAAGATCAGCAGTTGTGATTATCAAAATCCAAATCTGTGAACACAGGGAGCTTTTTAGCATAGTAAGTGAAATCGTTACTAATTCCCCACTGCCAAAACACATACCTCAACGTGCATGTGAGCACAGACTCTCGTGCAGTTCTTTCTTTCCCAGTAAGATCTGGTTAAAAGCTGCTTCAGTAGGTTTTAAAGCCCACAGGAGGTGCTACGCATTAACTGAGAAGACTGATCAACCCATACAGTATTAAAAAGACATTTGTAGACTCATTTAATCAATAATGTACAGTGTTAGTGTGCAATTTAGATCGAGAGAAGACAGCTGTAAGACTATGATACATCAGCTAATGAAAAAGCAAAGAGAGAGTGATTCAATTCAGTAGAGAGGCCAAGAAGCAGCTTCTTAGCTGGTGGGAGCAGTGATGGTAGCACATACTCCTGGGTTTCCGAGCCCATAAGCCGGCTGAGGATTTCTCCCAGAGCAAAGCGCAGAGTGAGCTCTCTCACACAACATCCTTTCCACAGGTATAAGTGGCAAGATTTCTGAGCCACAAAGGCTCCAGGCTTCTAAAAAGGTCAGCTAAGATTATAAAATAGCCCTATTTGATCTTGAAATGTTTCAGATGCTGACAGCTACCCAGGATATGTTGATATACATGTGGCAGCCTGATCTGAAATCCTCTCTGATTTCAAGACTCTGAAGTAAGAGGGATTTCTGTAGGAAAATGAGAAAGAATGTGAAATTCTGCACTGATCACACAAATTACCCTAAAGCTATACAGCAAACCCATATGGTAGGTTTTGGTGCCATTCTACGGATATGGCTATCAAGTCCTAAGGGCTGGACTGTTGCTTCAGATTTGGCCCTTTCTCACTGCTAGAAAATGCACAGTTCCCTTAATGTGTGAATTCCCCACAGTGAGCAGAGCTGGCCATATGGCCTCATTCCTAAACCAATTTGATGTAATGAGCAAGTTGCCGCACAGGGTTGGAAAAGTGTAAAAAAGCAATGGTTACCTGGGTCACCATCCCTAACACACTGTGCCTTGGGGTCAACACCTGCTTTGTACTGCCCAGGAGTTCCTGCTAGGGTTGGGACCAGTATAAGAAGAGGGATTGGATACCTACAGTTGGCTCTCTTTCCCATCCCTTTTCCATCTTCTTCCTTACATCTCAAATATAAACCTCACAGCTTGTATTTGCAGAGATATCTAGATTTCCTTAGATATTCCCTGGCCAAGTGCTCCATTAATGAGGCAGATACATTTCAGCCTGCAGAATATGCCAGGTTCTTGGCAGTGACAATTGCTTCATGGATGCACCATCTGCTGCTCTTTTGGTGTGACTGGTTACCTACTTTTCATGGCACATTTCTTTTTGCTGGCTGACTGACTCCCAAATCCATGAGGTCCTCTTTGAGAAAGCTGTGCTGAGTCTCCTGATGTCAGTACTTATGCAAACACATATTTCCATGAGAATAGCCTTGCTCATCTTCATGTTCTCCTACAGAATTATGATACTTTTGCTGGCTGCAGTTTTTAGTAGCAGAAGTTTGCTCCTTACTTTCGTAGGAAGGCACGGCAAAATGACCATTTTCTATCACCAATGTTGAAGAAAGGAGTTGTGATTGCAATATATGAGCTGACATAGGTGTTTGGAAAAATAGGAAGTCTTTACAGATATCCTTAGTCGTCTTCTACATAAATCACCACATCTCTCATGTGCCAAACATCACAACTCCATGAAGGGTTCCCTAAAGGGAGGTTAGAGGGAGAGATGGTCAGCTGCAGTAAATGTTATTTTCTTGCATTGCCTAGGATTTGCTGCAGACGATGAAGATTTTTCCTGCATGAAAAAGCAGGGATTTGGGCAGTTATTGACAGAAGTTAAAAAATATTGGAAGAAAACCCAACCAACTGAACAAAAAAACCCCAAATCCAAACAAACCCACATTTATAAAATTTCAAGGTTTTGGACATTTTCTGTAATTACTAATTCTTGGTGATGTTCCCTGTCTTACTATACATAAAATCACTGCCGATACAAGTTTAGTTTTATGTAATACTCCATATGGTGGATTCATAAAAGCCTTCTACTGGGAATACCACCATAAACTACTATTTTCTGCTATAAAAAACAACCATTTAAGTCAGACATGCACAAACAAGGTAATCTGCCATAAATTTTGAAATGGTAAAATACTACAAATGTAAATGTATTCAACTCCCATTGCAATGCATGTAATTTCCATAGCTTTATTAGAAATCCTGCAGTTGCAGTGGTTTGGCGATAGGTTATAAATACAGTAGGAATGAGTCAGCATGCAAATCCCTTCTGTGGAAAACAATTTGAGAGATTTTATAGCCCAAAGCTGTTTATTATTTTGTAAGAATAGTAATGCAAGTTCATGTTCAAAACCTGCTGAGAGAAGAATTTGCAAATATCCTATTATAGAACAGCCAGAAAAAAAAGTATAAGACCTATGTAATAGCGTTGGGCCAGATCATTTTCACATCCCCATTTAGCTC